GTCTCTCACTACCACCACTTCTTCTCTCTCTCTCTCTACACGCCGGTGTAGTTGTGAGACAGTCCGGCTAATAACGGCGTGAACACGGAAGCTTCAGTCTTTAAATGGTTAAATGGAGGCAGTTTTTTGTGTGTCCACAATACTTTATCCGCAATGCATGAGATTTATTGCAAGCTGTAAAATAAATCTGGAAATCGCGCTCCGTTTGAGATCGTAAACTTCACTGCCGTGTGAACTGTGGTTTGCTCACCCTGACACTGCGTGCCTTTACCTCGGTATGAAGCAGAAACGCGTTAACTTGCGTTGTCATAACGGTCACTATGGAGATTTCTGTTCTGGGATGTGAAGCCACGATGTTTGCTATGTTCGGAAAGACCACCTGCCTCCATCTTCAAGGGAGAAAAATACGGCGACCGTAGTAGAAATAGCGTGGATATATAGGGAGGGTAGAGTGGCATCGGGGCTGTTTTCGACGTTTCGGGGGAACATTCTGCCTCTGTCTTCGGGGATGAATATTAGGCGGGGTTTCGAAAGTAGCATGTCCATAGGGACCGCTGCCCCGAGAGAACCAGTGTGAGTAAGGAGAACAGTACTCGTATAAAAAGTACTGGACTTTTTAAAGTCATTCATTTATCAAGGGTAGAGTCAAAAGCTAAAAAACTTATTGAATCAATGCATGGTAAAGCGAAGTTAAGAGGAACAGAATGAGAAAACTATGCCTGTTTAACGGCCTCTTTTAAGAGCAGAATTTTTCACTGAAAGCCATTACTTCCCTCGCTCACTCTGCCCATGGAAAACGGTCATTTATAGCACCAAATTTTTTTATTCCTTTGGATCGGACGTTCTCAAAATGGCGGCCATGAAGAGAAGGATCTTCTGATATGTTCTTCAGCGGAGCCCGGTAAAATGCCACCGACTTTTCAGAGAAATGCACTAACATATTTTTGACCTTGAATATGAAGTCAGTACCTTCGAAACGTCGGTGACCAACTACAGCACACAGTCTTTTTCTCACAAGATCGTAGTCAAAAAGCTGGAAATATGGAATACAATTTTGTTTTTGGTCTGTAGCTCTGAATCAGTTGCGATTATTTGAGAAAATCTCAGTGAAATGATAAATTGATCTGGATTCTAGACTACAGAACCGAATATTTTGTAAGGGTAAACTGGCCCTACACAATACAGATGGTTCCTCAAGAAAATGGAAGGGAAATGTGAGATACTTCACAAAGTGTGTTACAAATACTTGTTAAGTAAATTAGGGAGGACATTCATACGTTTATAAATATTATTTTTTTCTAACAAAACATACAATGAATACAAATACATGATACCCTGAGAAATTAAACCGATTCTACTGGAGTAATATCCAACCACGAATACACTGCTCCTCGCAGTCAGAACTCTCCGCGACTCTCACCTGGGAATCCACCTTGACTGAATACTTATCCAGCGTCTTTAGATCCTGATGAACATCGAACGACGGGAAGTTCCAGATCTTCGTCAGACGTTGGTTGGTAGAACTGGCCCATCTTTCGATTCTTCTCTATCCTTTTGTGTGCACTTGCGTTTAACTGCTTTCGCTTTGGCAGTTCTGGAAACCCTTTTCACATTACGTCCACTGAAGTACGATTTAGTTCCTCCAGCTGATAGCTCGTATCTTTTCTTGAACTGGTTGTTAAAAGTAGCATTCAGTCATCTTCATACAGCTGAGATATTGTGACAAGATTGCGTCCTTGAGTTCAGGTACCCCAAGTGAATGGTTCTTCTATTTCGTTTGAAAAACAAGTGAGCAGCGGCACGCCAACAAGCGCACTGAGGCCAACCCCCCCCCCCCCCCGGGGGGGGCTATGCGGGGGTTGGGGCATTTTCATGGGCTTCTCACCTTATC